TTTTTTCTTTCATTCTCTTTCCTCCCTATTTCCCTTCTTTCTTTTTCTTTCTTTTCTTTCCCCCTTTTCCTCCCTTCCTTCACCTTTTCCCTCATATGATCTTCTTTCTTTCTCTTTCCTTCCTTCTATGATCTTCCTTCCTTCCTTCCTCCTTCCCTCCCTCCTTCCCTCCCTCCCTTCTTTCCTTTCTTTTTTCCTCATATCACCTTCCTTCCTTCCTCTTTCTCTTTCATTCTCTTTCCTCCCTATTTCTCTTCTCTTTCTTTTCCTTTCCTTTCTTTCCCCCTTTTCCTCCCTTCCTTCCTCTTTTCCCTCATATCATCCTCCTTCCTTCTTTTTTCTCTTTCCTTCCGTGATCTCTCACCTTCCTTCCCTCCCTCCCTCCCTTCTTTCCTTTCTTTTTCCTCAAATCACCCTCCTTCCTTCCTTCCTTCCCCCCCTCCCTCTTTTCCTTCCCTCCCCCTCAAGTGCCAGTGTCTTTCCTGCTTCCTCTCCCCCTTCAGAAGGTGCCCACGAGCAACACAGAGGGGGGCTGGTCCTACTCTCTGGCCGAGTACATCCGCCAGAACGACATGCCCATCTACGAGGCGGCCGACAGAGCCCTCAAGTCCTTCCAGGAGGAGTTCATGCCGGCGGAGACTTTCTCAGAATTCCTGGACGTGGCTGGTGAGTTTCTTGGCGTCTTCCCGCTCGCCCTCCGCCCTCTTCGGGACACCGGTGCTGAGAGGGGGGCGGGCGTGTTGGTGCGCACGCACGGCCGGCTCTGACTTATCCCGCTTGATTTCAGGATTGTTATCGGAAATCTGCGACCCCGACGGCTTCCTCAAAGATCTCTTCAACTCTCTTCCCTGAGCGGCCCCCAGAGAGAGACTGTTGGACTCCCATTCCCCACCCACCCACCCGAATTTTCTACCTAACCCCCCTCCTCACTTCTCAAGGAGCGTTGCCGTCACTTTTTCCTCACCCGCCGTTCCTCGGCCCACACTCCCTCCCTTCCTTCCTTCCTTCCTTCCTTCCTTCCTTCCTTCCTTCCTTCCTTCCTTCCTTCCTTCCTCCCTTCCTTCCTTCCTTCCTTCCTTCCTTCCTTCCTTCTCCTCCTTGAACCCCATTCTGGAGTGATGGATTTGGGTTGGTTTTCTTCTTGCTCTTTGCTCCTCGGCGGCCTTCCACCTCGCCTCTTCCAAGCCGGAAACGTGCGACGGACTCACGGAACCCAAGCCTGGTCAAAAATTTGTTTTTTGTTTTTTTTTTCTGCTTCTATGTGTGTGATCATTTTATCGGTCAATAAATAAGTTAAATACAGTCGGAAGGAAAGACACATCTGGCCCGGTGTGTCTCTGGGAAACCAGCCCTTTTGATTTTTTCCCAGGGCTTCGGTGGAGGACTTAGCAGTTAGAAGACTCTCCGAATCTTCCCTTTGCTTTGGATCCTGCCTCCTTGCACCCTGACCACCCTGGGTTTTGCGTTGCCTCTTCTCTCCACTTCCCGGTGTCGCCCTTTCCACGTGTGTTTCTTTCCACAAGAAGAGGAAAGTGTTAAATCTTCCGATGGGGACAAAGGAGCGAGAAGACACCCCTCCGCTGCGTCATTTTTTCCCTGGCATTGAAGTGAAATTTTCCTTGTGCGGGTGGGTGGTCAGCCACCCGCAGCTCTGGAGCTGCATGCGGCTCTTTGGGCCCTCTGCTGTGGCTCCCACCACTGGCTGGCTCCGGCTCTCAGCCTCGTCTTCCCAGTCACTCCTCCCCTAGCCTGAGAAGATAAAACACACACGCAAAAAAGAAATGAGTGGGAGGGGGAGAGAGAGAGACCCATTTCCCACAGAAAACACCGGGAGCCACAAAACCTGTATAGCAGTGGTGGGATTCAAAAATTTTTACTACTGGTTCTGTGGGTGTGGCTTGGTGGGCGTGGCGTGGCTTGATGGGCACGGCAGGGGAAGAATACTGCAAAATCCCCATTCCTTCCCCACCCCACTAACCTGCTTGGGTGGCAGAGAATAGATGGGGTTGGCGGGGCCAGTTAGAGGCGGCATTGGCTAGTTCTCTAAACTACTCAAAATTTCTGCTACCGGTTCTCCAGAACCGGTCAGAACCTGCTGAATTGCCGCCTCTGCTGGGCAGGCGTGACAGGGTGTGTGTGTCGTGACTGGGAGTGACGTTGAGTTGGTCACACCCACTCAGATTTTGTGACTCCTGATGTTTTCTGTGGGAAACGGGTCCAAATGGCTCTTTGAGCATTTAAGGTTACAGACCCTGTTGAGGTAATTCCCCGTTAGGAGAATAGAGAGTAGAGAGTAGTGTTGGTATAATACACACAGAGCACACAGATACACTGTACAGTAAATGTAGGTTTTTACTTCCAGAAAGGTTTAAGCAAAGTCCAAAATAGGCAATCCAAAGTCATTCACAAGTTAAATCAGTCAGTTTTCATCCAGGGATAATCCAAATATCAAATTCCAGTGTCAAAAACAGTAACAGACTTACATTAAATCCAGTAATATCAGTCAATTAGAAGAAATGGAGCAACGGCAATACTTTCCAACAGAAGGAAACAGAGATACACTCACACTCTCTTCTGAGACTAAGACTAAACAACCCAGGTTTCTGGCTCCATTTTATGGCCGTTTGAGAAACCACACCCAATTGCATGCTCTTGCATTCCCTTAAAGGTATAGTACTAAAATGTTTATCCTGGTTTGTATATTTCTAACCCAAATAGCTGTTAGGTGACTCATATTCCTAACAGACCCCCTGGACCTTGTCTCATCCCATCTTCGGCCCACCCACCGAGATGGGCTGGTAGCACCCTTGATTTCATTTCCCCGCATGCTTGGATTGGGCCTCTTTCCCAGAGGTTGTCCCCCCTTCCCCTAAAAAAGCAGATCTCCCCCAGCTAGGAGTTCTTTCAACACCCTTACAAGGGCAGCAAAAATAGGCGCTGCAGCCACACCGGATTAGTAATCCTGCGACTTGAGCAGCCGGGCCCTGGGATTACTTGGGGGGGGCTGATCCATTCTGCAAGGAGTGGCTCCAAACCGGCCCAATCAGCACTTTGCTAGCCCAGCAAACAGACGTGGGCTGATCAGCCGAGGTGGAATTTGCCTTTCGCTATCCTTCTGCTCCTCGGGGGGAAAACTTCTGGAGAGGCTGTTCCAGATTTCTCACTGGCCGCCCTTCACTTAAGCAACACGAGAAGAGGGGATTAATTCCGATGAGAAACGAGGATCGGCTCCATGGCCCGGAGGCAGGGCTGGGATGGCTAATGGTTAGGGAATGTGACCGGAGTGGTTGGAGGTGTGGATTTTAGTCTGAGCGTCGTTTTTGTTTCACGGGGTGGCCCAATGTAGACGAAGCCCTCGTTGCTCGCTGTTGGCATCGGAGAGGGAAGTTAAGCTGTGGGCCGCCATGGGGGGCATGGGTGCGTATTTTGGCACGGTTATTGCCCGGAAGAGATGGGGAGCCCAAGGCCTGGCAACAAAAGCCAGGGCAGAATCCCCGAGGGTTTTTTTTTTCCTTTCCAAAAGGTAACGGGACTTTCTTGTCCAGTTTTTTTGTTCCCCTTGAAAATATATCGCTTCTCCTCCGAGAGGCCTCCTCAGTTCTGACTGAACTGAAATTTGAGTGAACTTCAGTCAGAACCGAAGAAGCTTCTCAAAGTAGAAGCAAAACTCTTTCAAGGGAGAGGTGGAACCCAAGAAAGTCCAGTTGCCTTTTGGGGAAAAATATTTGGGGGCAACCATAACCTGGATGATTGAGAGTCTCCGTAGGCATTTAACCAGGATAGAGATGGCACTGGAAAAAGGGTACTGAGCACCGCAGACTAATGGATAGAATTGTAGTAAGACTCTGCAGGGAGTCCTTAACTTACAACCACAATTGACCCCAAAATTAGTCACTCAGTGAGAAATTTGTTATGTAAGTTTTGCCCCATTTTAATGACTTTCCTTGCATGTGTTAAGTGAATCACTGCAGTTGTTAACTTAGCAACCTATTTGTTAAGTGAATCTGGCTTCCCCACTGACTTGGCTTGCGGAAAGTCGCCAAAGATCTCCTCACTCCTGGATGATGTGACCGTCATAAATGCGAGTTGGTGGTCAAGCATCCGAATGTAAACCACGGAAGTGTGGGGATATTGCAACTGTCATACTAAGTGTGAAAACAGTCCCAAGTCCCTTTTTTCAGTGCCGTCGTAAGTTCAGACAGTCACTAAGCGAACTGTTGTAAGTTGAGGACTAGCTACAAAGTGAAAAGAACCCACTGAGTCATCAGTGGGCTTGCTAAGTGGGGCTGGGAATGTGCCCCTTAGCCAACGAGGGCACCCAGGGTGCTTCACCTTTTCCCCAAGATATTCTTGGGGCATCCTGGCCCCCTTTCTCCCTCCTTTGTCTTGGAAAGCCCCATCCAGGGTCAGCTCTCTGGTCCTCAGCCATCCGTTGTGTTGCTGTCCTTGTGCTGGTTCATCCTTTGATTGCTTTCCAAAAAAATTTTTTTCCCCACCAGCAGAGATCCTTCAGGCAGTGACTCAGAGGCCGTCAGGAAGGTGCAGGGCTCCCTGGGATCTACAGCTAGATCTCCAGCACGCTGGAGCAGGATCTTTTGGGCAGGAGAGCAGGTACTGTGTTTCCCCAAAAATAAAACCCAACCGGAGAATAAGACCTAGCATGATTTTTTTTTAAGGATTATCTTTTAATTACCCCATAATCCCTTGTGGGGTGAAGTCTAGGTAACTCAATGGAGCTGAGTGTTTACTGGCCGGATGCCTTTCCTGTCGCCAATGCGGAGTTCTATTCCGCAGATATATTCTCAACATACCCAGGGAGAGAAATATCTGCCTCTACCTAGGATCAAACTCACAGCCTCCGGATTACGAGATGAGAGTTCCACCTCTAGGCCACTGCACCACTGCATGATTTTTCAGGAGGCTCGTAATAGAAGCCCTAGCCCCCAAAATAACCCCTAGTTAAGATTGCTTGGTACCGTCTTTCCCCGAAAATAAGACCTAACTGGAAAATAAATCCTAAGGCTTCTTTTGGAACCATCATAATAATAATAGTAATAATAATAAGACTCGGTCTTATTTTCAGGCAAAACATAGGTAAATCCCAGGGCCCTCACCTTCCATTCTCACGTTGGCCTTTCAGCCAACAGGGAGTTTCATCTGACCATGAAGAGGCCCAGCCCAGGGAGGAAAGGAATGGGGTGGCTCCGTTTAGCTGAGGCGGGTTGGTTGACGATGATCTTGATGATCCTGAGAGATTGAGGTCACTCTAGGAGTGTTTAGACCTGCCCTTAGCTCCTTCCCTGGGGAAGGCGGCGTTGATCGCCTCCTTCCTGGCTATCCATGCCGACGGCCTCTTTGCCAGCGGGCCAGCAAACTTCCAACCAATAACTCTGAGATAGGCCTCTTCTCAAAAGTTCTTTTTATTTTGGATAGTAAAGTGGTACAACTGGGGAAATCCCGAATCTGGAAGTTTTGGGCTTCCTTGCAATAAGTACAAAATTACAAATCCACCCCCTGCACCCATCATCACATCACATGCCCCAATCGCCATCCGTCCCAACTTGAGACTTCCCCTCACTTGTGCGCAAAATAACATGACCTTGAATTAGAAAAAGAATGTTGTTACGTCTAACCACATACACCCCCAAGACATTCCCCACTCCCACTTTCCCGGGCTCGAAATGTGGCTGTGTGGAAGCGTCTGGTGCTGATATGGCTTCCAAAGCTGACAGCTTCTCTCTTCCACTTTGGTGACCTGGCAGGGGGAAAGCCACTGAGCAAAGGTTTAGCAAATTAAAAACCATTTTTTTGCCCAGTAAGGCGTTTTGTGCTGGATTTTGCAAGTCTGGGGCATGTATGAGAAATGCAGCCCTTGAACTCTCCGTTATGCCTCCTGGGGCTTCACACAACCTTCACAAAAGGTGTTGGGGTGGGGTGTGGGGGGGTTGTATGAACTAATCCACCTCAGGGTGAGGTTTTCGTGAACGCCAGCTCAGGTTTCCCG